CCCAGTGCACCAGTCTATCAGAAATAACCAGTTAGGCTTCTTGAAATGCCACTTTGAAAATTAGTTTCGTTTCAACAGTTCAATTTTGTCAAGAAAACAGCTCAACCACAATTCATTACTTAGGGCAACATATAATGATTAAAAGACATGCAGACTGGTGAGACAGTTCAGTAGGTAAAGGCACTTCCTCACAACCTGACTCTCTGAGTTTGGTCTCTGGAACCCACATGGTAGAAAGAAAGTTGTCCTCTGACCCTACACATATTCTCTGGCACCTGCCTACCCATAAACATGCATCTTAGACACCTGTTCAGTAAATAAGCAAATTCAAAAAAAATTAAAAGGAGAAAACTTACAATATTTCTTTAGAAAGGGAACAGCCACATGTGTATAAAAATGGACTGTGTCTCCTACGGATGTCAAAAGCTACATCCATGAAGTCTCAACAGTATGACTGCCTACACATGAACTGAATAAGAATGACAACAATAGATACTCAGAAGTGGACAGGAGAAAGCCCAGGAGGCTTCGTCCTACACTAAGAATGACAGGCCGCTGAGCAATGCTGAGAGTGGGAGAAATAGTTTTCCCCAGGGAAGATGCACATCAACTGGTCATCCAATATCGACTGGTCATTCCTGAAAACATACGCACTAGTAACAACTGAGCAGGCAGTATTTAGGAGTGTGTGTGTGTGTGTGTGTGTGTGTGTGTGTGTGTGTTTATATAATCTATATTATAGTATATATTTATGTACAAATATGTATCTAATAACAATTAAGAGAAAGAGGCCATAAATTTGAAAGAGAGAAATGAGAGGTGTATGGGAGGATTTAGAGTGGGGAAATCATGCAATTATATTATAATCTCAAAAATAAAGAAAATAACAAAACATCCTTGTTTCTCTGCTAGTGTTCCTACAGTGAATGTCTGTGGGCAGAGTTGTAAAGTGTGGTCATGATCAAGGGTGTTTTTTTTTTTTTCTTTTTGACATAGGTGTTTATTAAAAATGGCATGGGGAATCATTGAAAAATAGTGTTAAATGACAAGTAACTATCACTCCACAAATTACACAAGCCAAAGAGCAAATCAAGGTGACTCATGGCAGCAGAGATTATGTTTATGTTCAGTAGTTAAATGCACTGAAAACCACTCCTTAATTTGCAGAATAGAATTCTGGGAAGCCAAGTTCAACGCCAGCTGTAGAAGGCTGCAGAGGAAATGAAAATTTACATTTGTAACTTCACATAAATACTTTCCTGAACACGAAAGAATTCAATATAAAATACTAAGTTGGAGCATCCATCAGAGGAGGCTATTGAAATCGGTGGCGAGAGGAAAATTATAGGAGATACAGATGATGAAAGAGAGGGGATCCAAAACAGTGATGTCTCCAGAAGGGTGTGGTGTAATGTGCTGACTGTTGACGCCAAACCCGGGAGCATTTTCTCACTCATCGTCTTCACTCATTTCTCATCTTTTTTTTTCTCACTCACTCACCACTCCCACAACAAGCAGATATCCTGTTGCCTCTGCTTTAGCTCTTTCAATTTCCTCACTGCATTTTCTCCTTCAGACATGACCTGGCTGTTGGTGCAGCGAGTAGGTCCAGGATGGGGCAGGTGCCCCCCAGCTCCCACAGTCTGATAAGCGCTCACTCCCTTTCCCCCAAAATCTGACAGCTGATCACTTTCCTCCCCCACCTCTGACCTGGCAATTACTCTGACAGGTTTTTGGATTATAATCACAAGAATTTGTCAATAAGTTTGTTTGACTCATGTTTATTTTTCTGCTCCAGCATAAGAATCTGCCAGATTTCTTTTACGAAACAAATCTTCATTAAGACTCTAACTTACCAGAAAGCTTCTACTATTGACCACTTAATAAAAGCAAAATAGGAACTAATGATTCTAGCACATGAATCATTTCACAATAAGAACCTTTTAAAGTTCATTTTTCATTACCGTCCGAACACACCCGTGCTTACATCCAGGCAGACACGTCTGTTCCAGTGCTGTGTCTTTCTCATTCTGAGCTTTGCTGTTCTTCTGGCATCTTGCAAGCCCTTCTGTTTCTCTGAATCTAATAGGTTCTCTCTGGGTGTCCCCTACACTCAATCTTTGCTTTCATTTCTAGGCACATCTTTTATTGTGTTATCTATCCTGAATCAACTGATTTATTATTCTTGTTGGATTCCGTGATTAAGCAAAGGCATGTGAAGTATCAACACTATCTGTAGTTTCTAGCACAAGGCTTCCTAAATAATAAACAATGCAGATAGATTATTGTATCCTTTAAAATGTAATTTCTAAGGTTTAATAAAGTGTACATATTTTGAGGTGATTAACAGAAGCATTTATGCAAAAAATTTGAAAAATATATATGAGTCATTTTGAAATTCATCATTTTACTCTTCTTTCCTATGGGATCACTTGGCTAGCAGAGACTGCACAACTGAAATACATCAGCTAAATGAGTGAATGAGTATATCGTTTAAGTGAATGTCACTCATGTATTATGTTTCTTATTTATAAATATATCATCCTGGTCAGCCTGATTGAAAAATCTTATCATTTAAACAAGCCTTATTCTATACAGACAAAGTAGTATGAAAATATAAAAGAAAATTTGAAAGGTTAATTTGAAGAAGAAAAAAAAAACTCTTTCTCTTATGGAGACTCTTTGTAAATACTACTACTTATATTGATGATAATACTGATGACTACATCTGCATTTGTGTGTTTATCTTTAGTTGAAAAAGGATTATCAGAGTGTTCAGAATGGAATGCTAATTTTAAGAAACATCTAAGAAAATTGCTTCTTTTCCCCCTAATCTTTTTATAGGCAATAAGTGCCTCAGGGTACAAGGCATATACTTTCATGAAGAAAATGCCTATTGCATGAAATGCTTTATGCAACACATCTGGAGATAGGTGTCTACTGGGTGGGGTGAAATTCCTGATAGTTCCCAGCAGCGAACACCAGTTGGCACTAAGCCAATGGAACTTTACAGATATTCTTAGGATGACCTGGTGATGAGCTAGTATTCTTGCAGTTGATGTCTGGACAGAATTTTTCTGTTATCACCTCTTTCATACTTTGAAATATAGCAGATTTATCAAAACTCTGAGATACAGCCACAAAAGAACTTCATATTATTTTCCTAGAGTCACAGCAAAGGAATCTAAAAATAAAATCCCCTCTCTTCTCCTGGGGTGCAACCACTTCATGTTACTTTGTGATTTGACATCACAAGAAATTCCAGGGGAGGCCTTGCAGGCAGGGAGGAGGCCAAGGTCAAAGACCAGCGGGTTCTGAACCTGTGCTTGACTGACTTTGATGGTCTTGTTTGTTATATCAAATGGAGCAGAGAAAAGGGGCTCTCCAATGAGCCGAGGCTGCTGTTGGATTTAATTCCCTCTCTTTGATTTCCCGCAGCAGCATAGATTAAAGATGTATCGTTCTTCTCTCCCCATGTGTCTTACTGTGGTACTCCCTAGGAAAAAGAAAGAACATCTTTTAAAGGAGTCTTTGTCCAACGTGGTCTCCTTAACTACCAAAACATCTTCCAGGATGAAGTGCCAAGGTGTTTGATGCTGGCTGAACTAGATATCACTTCTCATCAATCAAATGGAGACCAGTAACTGGCACCCTGGTTGTGAAAATCAGACACAATGATATAGAAAGGAGAAAAAAAACTGTCCTGCATTAAACTTCTACATCGGAAGTGCCTTGCCCCACACATTTATGTAAATATAGAAGGGCCAAGTTCGAAGACATCACTGAAACAGCTCAACTGAAATGCATGGATTGTGTTTGAGCCTCATGATGTTCTGTAGCTGAAGTCACAGCTCTTCACATATCAGTTGATAATGTATATCAAGGCTCATGCTTGCAAATCAGCAGCGGTTGCCAAGCTACAGCAGGAAATGTGTTTTAAACCTATGTTTTGCATGATACACCAGTTCTATATACAGTGAGTGTGCATCTACTATGGTGTATATGATATTAATGGGCTCTGAAAGCCATGCTACTGAAGAATGACACGTTTCTCACTTATTGAAGATTCTAATTTGCCCCATTATGCCTCACAGCACTTTTCAAAAAGTGTATTATCTAGAAGTAACACACTCTTGGCTCATGCCTTATTTCTTAATTGTAATTTAAAAAAAAAACTTCAAATCCAAGTCATTTGCCATTACTCCATTGTAGGCTTTCTGACTTACATGAGCATTTTAGAAATGTGAAAATTGTATTGACCTTGGAGAAGGAGATACTTCCCTCTTATGATTATGTCTTTGAGTAGAGAACATGTAAAGAAAAAAAAAAAGACAGAAAATCAGGGGCCTGGCATTTTAACTTCCACACTTTATTATTTTTGAACATAGTCCATCTTTTATAATATATTTGAATTCTAGAGAGCATCTTTGCCTCAACAATAGCAAAGGCCATGAAAGAATACCATTGGTCTATGTATGTGGCAAAAGCAGATTTTATTAGGCCTTCAGTAGGCAGATGACATGACTCTTAATGAACCCATATCTCAAAGACATGTTTTCATGTTTCATTTTCTTTCCAGAATAGTGTCTCTAAGTAATAAGACTGATTTGGTACATTTCATGAGATGTGTAGGAGAATCTCCAGGCGCATGGCTTCCAAAATGAGCAAAATATTTCTTAGTGTCTTAGGTTAGCAGTACTAGTAATTATTTTGAATTGTTTTCTAACTAGAACCCTCGTTGAAGGAAATGTCTTCAGCACACTGTCCTACCCACACTGCCAGATTCATTTTTATGAACGTGCTAACTGTGTCATTTACATTCAAGGAAAAAATTCTTTGGTTACTAGCCTAGAATTTAAGGGCTGAGATATCTCCCCAGCCTGAGGGAAAAAAGTCTTATTATACCGTCTATTCCTTTGAGCATAAACAAAGTCCTATTCAAGAATTAAATATTGTCAAAGATAGGACCTCAGTCTGTTTATTCAAATAATTTTTCCAGCTCATGACCTATGCTTATACAAAAATGTGACACCTCATCCCCTGGCTTTCCCACATCTCTGCTTCTCCTGAAGTGCTCCTTCTTGCCTGAATTCTTTTGCTCATCAGTCTTTACGTTGTTGTTGTTGTTGTTGTTGTTTGTTTGTTTGTTTATTTCTGAATCCTGTTCCACCTTCTCCTAGATTCTGAGACTTCTTCCTGACTCAGAGTCTACTGCCAAGATGCCAGATGGTGTGTTTGATGATCAGGTGAGAAAACAATTTCAAACAGGCTAACATTCCCTGTGTAATAGAAGCTCTTTGTTGAGAGATCAGGTAGCATCGAATTCCGAGAGAAGGGCTAGTATCTCAGCTTCTTCTCTTGCTGTGCTAGAAGTCCTGACCAAGGCAACAGAAGGTAGAAAGGGTTGGTTTAGCTCGCAGTTCGAGGTTACAGTTCATCGAGGAAGAGAACTCACAGCAGCAGAAGTCTGTTGGAGCTGTCCCATCTGAAGTCCAGTGAAGAATGCATGCAAGTTAGTGCTCAGCTTGCTTTCTGTATTTTATACCATCCAGGATCCCTACCCAGGGAAGATCCCTACCCACAGTCCAAGGGGGGTTTATTCATGTCAGTTAATATAATCAACATAATCCCCTACTTACCCAAACCAGAAGCCCAATTCCCAGATTATTTTAGATATTTTTTTCAAATTAACAATTAACACTATCACAGTTACAAATAGCCTATATAGTCAAGGATGATTTCCTGAAGGACGTGGACATGGAGTAATAACTAGAAAAAAAAAATTATAGGGAAGAAGAAAAGACAGTGCTTTGCACGCTGAAGGGTTAGTGTGCACTTCTGGGTCTTGATTCCAATTCTTTCTTTCTTTCTTTGTTGAAGCAGGGTTTCTGTGTATAGTTTTGTTGCCTGTCCTGGATCTTGCTCTGTAGACCAGTCTGGCCTTAAATTCACAAAGATCTGCCTGGCTCTGCCTCCCGAGTGCTGGGATTAAAGACGTGCACCACCACCGCCCGGCTCGATTCCCGTTCTTGCTGCTCGAGAATCACCTGCCTTTTATGTGGACTCCATCTATAACCTCCTTGTGGCTACTTCGGCCACCGTTTTCACAGCTTTAGGACATAATTACTTTCTACTCTGGTCCCTGGATCTTTTGGATCCTCTCCCCTTAGCCCATTGGATGCATTTATGCCTTCATGTTATATGCACGTTATCCCATCCAAACATCCAGTAAATTTTATTAAACCTTTCCATGTACTTCACACAGTGAAAATAGTTAATCCCTCCTCTGTAACTCATCATTATTTCCATTTTAAAACAACATGATGCAAAATTTCATGCAACAATCTTCAGTGAAAGTTGAGTTGCCCTGTTAATATATTTCTGGCTCCCCCAAACCATTAATCTCCACATCTTCAAACTCTGTGAAAATAATAACATGATTTTAAAAGTCTTTTCTGTTGACACCAATGTATAATGTCAAAACAGCTGTTTAGAAATGTTTAAGTCTTACTTGTTCAGGGCAAATTTTCCCTGTCCTGTTTAAGAATTGACTACATTCCAAGTAGTAACACATGTGTCAACATATGGCATGATATCACCAATCTACCTCTTCCCCCTCCCTTGCACACACCACCACTACCACAATTACCATTACACTATCACCACCAACAATAAAACCAATAATGAAGACAAGACACAAGCTAACAAGGTTTTATTCTAAAGACAAGGAAAAGGGGAAAGGCAGGAAGACTAAGATGCCTACCTAAGTCACTTATGGTGAAGAGGTAAAGCAGGCTTCTAAGCTAAAGTGAGGTTCTTTTAAAAGCCTTCGTCATACACCTCACAATGAAGTTATCATATTTCCAGGATTCTTATTTATGTTTTACTTTTGCCATATCAAAATATATTCAGTCCTTCTTTCTGCAGACTGTAATTTCTCTGTGATACCCACACTATAGAAGGTTGAGAGCACATGTTCTTTGTGTTCTCCAACTTTAACATGTTGTTGGATATTAAAGGGAGTTGAAATGAACAAACACTATGAGTTCTGAAACAGTGAAACAGACAAAGCACTGGAGTTCAATCTAAAAATAAGTATATAGACATAGACATACTAGTAAAAAATATAATATAATGCTGGGAATAGGCTTATGGCAATGAGGGTCCCTAAGAATCATTAGTGTCACAGCCCATCATCCTTCAGATACTAAATAAATAACATCCCTGGAGTGTGAGCACCTCCAGTGAGAAAATTCCTATGGAATAAGGAAATCAGTACTGCCTAGATGTCTGCCTCTGCCATTCAAGTTAGATGCCAATATTTTGGAAAGGTAAGATGCAATGTCAAATAATATCAACATTCATCCAGCACTAATTAAAAATACATAATGGTATATACTTATTTAAAATGCAATTGAGGGTCTAGAGAAATAGCTCAGCAGTTAAGAGCACTGGCAGCTCTTTCAAAGGACGTAGTCTCGGTTTCCAACTTCTGACCTCTAAGGGCACCAGGCAGGCTAGTAATGCCCACATATACATATATGCAGGCATTCACACATCCTCATAAAATTTAAAAACTATTTAAACTCTATACATGTCCAAGATTCTACAATTTCCTAAAGCTGACTGAGCACAGGAAAAGTCCTGATAGACAAATGAGATCCTAATCATAGTTTTGATTGTTTCACATAAAAAAAAAACACTATTTTATGATGTCAGAGTTTTCTCTGATTTATCACTGCAATGCATGATCAGTAGAGTTCTATACTACCCAGTGTTTTTTATGTATTTTCATTTAAAATTGTGTAAGATTTTTTATCAGAATTTAAAGTGTTCCATTATGATATTTCATCCACATTTTCAGGATAGTTGTTGATCTTCTTCTCCTGTTCCCCTTCCTATCCCCTGTCCCCACTTCTCATTTCATGTCAGCATGCATTTTCTTACCTTCATTTTCTCCCTCCCTAACCATCACTTATGAATCTGTTTACCCCTTTCACTGTCCCCATTATAGTTTCCTGATCTACACCCCACCCCCTCCACCCCCGCCACACACACATTCAAATCTCCATAGGAAAGGTGGCATATTAGAGGCACTTACCACCAAACCTGAGACCTGAGCTTGATCCCTGGACCACTCAAGGATGAAGAAGAAAGTCAACTCTAGTAATATGTCCTCTGACCTCCTTACACCCCACCCTAGAAAAGGAAAAGGAAAAATAAAGGCAAAATCTAGGGTCTACAACTAAGAGAAGAAATTGGCACATACTCTTTTGCATTCTTTTCATGTGTATTTCATTATTATTTAGGGGAAAGAGGTGTGTGTGTGTGTGTGTGTGTGTGTGTGTGTGTGTGTGTGTGTGTGTGCCATATGAACCCAAGTCCTCATGGAAGCAAGCATCTTTACTATACACAGAGCCAGTTCACATGCAAGGAACTGTTTTTATTGGTAGTGTTTGGTTTGGTTTGGTTTGGTTTGGTTTGGTTTGGTTTGGTTTGGTTTGGTTCGTTTTGTTTCATTTTTCTAGACAGGGTTTCTCTGTGTAGCCCTGGCTGTCCTGGAACTCACTCTGTAGATAGGCTGGCATTGAACTCACAGAGGTCAGCCTACCTCTGCCTCTCAAGTCCTGGGATTAAAGGCGTGTTCCACCACTGCCCAGCTATTGATACTTTTTTAAGGAGAAAGAGAGAGAGAGAGAGAGAGAGAGAGAGAGAGAGAGAGAGAGAGAGAGAGACTCCATGGAGATTTTTAGACAAATTATTTCACGGCAGAGCCACAGGTATTTGAATTCAGTAAAGGCACCATATTACTGAATATGATTATCAGGACAGTAGTGATAAAGAGTCATCCTTGCCAGGGAATTATTACAATCAGATACTATGAGACACTCCCCCTACTCAGTAGTTACAGGAGTTTGTGTGACACTCATACTTTCTGTGCGTCATACTCTTGTTTATCAAGATACCATACACTCAGTACATTGAAGAGTTGATACTACAATTTTAAAATACCTATAAAGTGATTCAAGTATTTCCAAAGCCATAGGACCACCCACACATATTCACCAGATAAATTATTTCATATGCTTACATATTTTCTTCAACAAGTCATCCATTTTTAAAATACACCTTAAATCCAAATAATGATATACTAAGTGAACACATACATTTCTTTAAACAATCTTCTAATTGTTCTTTTAATTTACAGTAGGTAGAATAATCTCTAATCTTACTTTTTTAGGTATATAGATTGGAAACATGTCTTATCCTCCTGAAATCTGTGGATTCTGTGATATTTGAATGTAAACATGAAATAATTCTCACTCAAATTTCCTTATTATGAGTTATATGTAATATATTTCTGAAGCACTGATTTTCTAAAGCAACCTTTTTTCACTCAGAACTCATAGCATTTTAGACAACATTAAAATTCCATTATTTTCCTCAATTCATGTCAATAATAGGTAAGGCAATTAATCCATCTTTGTTCTAATTCTTTTACTGAAAGTGTTTCTCCATTTCTGTTGTATTCTCACTTTTCATAAATCCATATTTTATTTTATCTATTGTCCTCACTGTTTTCTGAATCTTTTCAACATATTTCTATGGCTAAAAAGTAGAAAATGCCTAAGATTCATTATTTTGTGAAATATTGATTGACGGTATTTACATTGCATTCACAATATGGGAGAAGTGTGCCATTATCTTGTTTCTGTTTTTTAAAAATAAACAACAGGAAAAAAAGGATCACAATCTAGGGAGAGTTTGTAGACAAAGCACCAACTCCTTCATTTGGTGTTTATTTTTACAATTGACACTGATCAGTTGACATAAAATACTGACCAGAAATTATCTGAGTCAAAGTTCTATAACTATAAACTTTATATTTTAAAGTTATCAATCTCAGTATAATTTTAGAAACCACATGATCATCTCATTAGATGCAGAAAATACCTTTGACAAAAATTAACAGCTCTTCATTATGAAAGTTCTGGAAAGAATAGGGATATAACGGACAAACCTCAACACAATAAAGGCAATCTATAGAAAACCCAGAGAGGACATTATTCTAAGTGGGGAAAAATTCTGAGCATTTCCATAAAATCAAGTATAAGACAAGGATGCCAGCTCATTCCATAGTTGTTCATTATAGTGCCTGAAATCTTAGCTAGAACTATAAAACAACTGAAGGGAATACAAATAACGAAGGAGGAAATAGTCAAATAGTCAATGTATCCTTATTTGAAGATGATATAGCTTTACGCATAAAAGACCCTAATGAATCTAAAAGGAAACCTCTACAGTTGATAAACACTTTTAGAAAAGAATCAGGGTACAAAATAAACACAAATATCAGTAGCCTTCCTGTATATCTACATGACAAAGATACAGAGAATGAAATAATGGAAAGAGCACCTCTCACAATAGCTTCCAAAAATACCCTGGCATAACTCTAACACTGAAGTGAAAGTGTTGTATAATAAAATCTTTCAGACATGGAAGAAATATATTGAAGAAGACATCAGAAGATAGAAAAGCCTTGGCTGGGCGGTGGTGGTGCACACTTTTAATCCCAGCACTCAAGAGGCAGAGCCAGGCAGATCTCTGTGAGTACAAGGCCAGCCTGGTGTACAGAGCAAGATCCAGGACAGGCACAAAAACTACATGGAGAAACCCTGCCTCAACGTCCCCAAAAAAGATAGAAAAGCCTCCCATGCTCATGGATCGGCATGATTAATACTGCAAAATTGATCATTCTACCCAAAGCAATCTACAGATTCAATGCAATCACCACCAAAATTCTGGTAGAATTCTTAGCAGAAACTGAAAACATAATCTTGAACTTCACATGGAAACACACACACACACACACACACACACACACACACACACACACACATCAACATACCTTAAACAATCCTAAACAATAAGAGATCTGCTAGAGATGTCACCACCCAGATTTCAAGTAGCACTATACAGGCATTGTAATAAAAACATCAGGATATTGGCCAAATACAGATGTGTTGATCAATGGAATAAAGACCCAGACATAGTTCCACACACCTACAGATACTTGAGGTTTTACAAAGAAGCCAAGAATTCACACAGGAAAACATATTTAGCAAATGTTGATGATCAAACTGGACAGCTACATACAAAAAAAAATGAAAATAGTTTTAGAATTTCATGTTGAGACAAGTATTATGACAACTGGTTTTCAAGTCAGCTTAGTATTGAATCAGAGATACAGTTTCAACAAACCTAAAATAATTTGGGATTGTATATTTCCCATAATAGGGCTTGCTGACTCAGCCTTGATTCCATGTTTATCATGAATTCCACCCAGTGCTTCTCTGCCTCAATTCATTCAACAAGGAATGTGAACAATTATCATGCCCATCATTGTGATCTGACATACAAGCTCCAGGTTAATTTTTTCTATTAAGGAATTTTTTTTATTCATTTTACATACCAACCACAGATCCCCATCCCTTCCTTTCTCCCACCCCTCTAGCCTTCCCTTGCCCCAACCCACCCCTCATTCCCTCCTCCAACAAGATAGAGCTTCCCATGGGAGGTCATCAGAGCCTGGTACATTCAGATGAGGCAGGTTCAAGCCCCTCCCCCTGCATCAAGGCTGTACAAGGTGTACCACCATAGGTAGTCCAGGTTAATTTTTAATAATCAGCAAAAACTCTTAGTAAGTAAAAAATAATTATGCCAAGCATTTAAATAATTAGTTACACCATTAGTGAATGCAAATCATGGATTGCTACTACATGCCTGATTTAATGTACTTAATACTTCCTCTCATTTGACTATACCATAATTAGATATCTTTTTGTATTTCCTTTTTGTGTAAGTTCTATATTCAAATGTCAACCGACAAATACTTATTTATGGCTCCTTTTATATCTGCACCATTCATAATTTACACTCTCAGTAGGCACATTCTACACATTTACATCCACAGCAAATAATTTGACTATGTGATTCATAAACATATTTTCAGAAGGAAGATATGATTCAAGATCTAGTATATGAAAATATCCTGTCAAATATGGGGGTGACAATGATGATAACATTTTTTTGTCACGAAAGATGTTTTCCTGATCACTGCAACTAGTAGGGACAAGATTTTGGTGGCCTGATTTGGTGCTTGGTCCTAGGTAACAGAGTCTCTAGGGGTCCCTTTTCCTTTTTCTGTTTAATTGAGGCAAAGATGCATCTCAGGCACCAGCTGATATTCATGCAGTTGATTCTACAGAAATTTGGCAGGTACAAAGCACACCTGGCCAATGGTACAGGCCATGCTGTCAAAGATAAGATGACAAGCTGACCAGAAGCGTCTCCACTCAGAGCCCAGTCTCACAATTTGGGAGACTGGTCTATATTTTCCTACTTGTATTCAGTTCTGAGCGGCAACTCATGTTTCTTTCACAAACAGTTTGAGCTATTCTTATAGGGTTAGCTGTGTCTCAAGGCTGAGAAAAGTGCTTGCTTATAGCGCAACTGGAGATTTCAGATCCAAGTAGGGCAGAAAAATTATAATTGCCAGGCTAGAATTGGGAATGCTTAAGACAAGAAACATTTTTCCACAAGTCCATGAAATGTCTCAGTGACCCTATGGCTAGTATCTCCCTAACATGTCCTTATAGAGTACTACATGGATATAGATAGAAAACATGTGCATTATTAAGTTTTGCTAGCATATAAATATCTGTAGGATAAACTAAATTTACATTGTCCTCTTCAGAAGCAAGAGGAATGACTCTGGATCGTGTAGTCTGGCAAGAGGCAACAGGGAACTCATGGCACTGTAGTTTCCTGAATAGGAAAATATATACTGCTAATTTAACTAGAAAAACAGACCATTGCACATGCAGTAGTATAGGCCAAATATGTTTCTTGGTAACTGGGTTTCTCCTGAAAACGTGAGCACTTTCATCTTACTAGGATGCAATCTGACATTTCCTCCAGGTCATGCAAATTGTCTCTAGTCCCATACTGTTGTCCTCTCTGTTTCTACAAGGGTTGGTCATTTTCTCAATCACGAATCCTCTTAGTCTCCATAGATTAGCCACGGAATTGTTTAAACTAATTATACACATTTGCTTAAAAATTAAGTTCTTGCCGGGTGGTGGTGGTGCACGCCTTTAATCCCAGCACTCGGGAGGCAGAGCAAGGCGAATCTCTGTGAGTTCGAGGCCAGCCTGGGCTACCAAGTGAGTTCCAGGAAAGGCGCAAAGCTACACAGAGAAACCCTGTCTCAAAAAACCAAAAAAAAAAAAAAAATTAAGTTCTTAATGATAGTTTTGTTGAGATCACCTCTATTGATAAACCCAAAATGACCATTGCCTCCAACTCCAAAGGGTTCCTTGTGTCTAACCTGAGTTCTCAAAATGAAAACAAATGGAAGTATTATGTGCCATACCTCCCTGTTATGTTTATTTTCTGTGATGCTGTAGAGATGTGTGGATTCTGTGGAGGAAAAAACACATAAAAATAATGAAAATGACATTTCATTGAGTAGAAACATGAGTTTCATTGATATATGCCTATACATCTGGTGGAGAAAGATATAGAGTGGGATTTCTTTGATGATATAGTACCAAGCTTACCTTGGCTACCCTTAGAATGCTTGAATAACACAAAGCTTCTAAGACTGATGAATCTGAGACCTGATGAGATATTTTTTTCCTTCCTCTGTCTTCACCCTTGCCAGCATTCTGCTAGAAATAATTAACCTTGTTCTAGAAAACATACATGAACAGCTTACCAACAACTGCCAGAAGACATCTTGAAAGGCACTCCAGTATATTCAGCTTGGAAATACCTTGTTATATAGCCCCAATTACCTTTAAATACAACTTTTGAGTTTTGAAAAAAATTCTTTCAAAATACAGCAACAATTTGCATTATTTTGAATATTTGCTTTTAACCAGTAACATGCTACAAGGAATAGGTTTTTAAAAAAGTCTTTACTACTTTGTTAAAAAGAAAAGTCTACTAATTTGACTTAATTTGTGGCTATGTAGAAATTTCCCCCTGCTAAGGCATGAGCTTGCTTTCATTTCACTGTACTGGGAATCTTTAATTGAAGTCATCGCTGTTTCCTCACTTTCTATGTGTAGACAAGTTGTCAAGCCTTCCAGAGGGCCATTGTTCTTCCACACCCATCTTCTGGATCTGGCATGCTTTGACAATCATTTGGAAGAATAGTGCGATTATAAAATGTCCTGTTCTTTAGAGGAAGTTAAAAACTAGGCAGAGGTACAATATTTTTGACAACTGTTGGTGTTTTTTCATTATATTTTCCTGCTTGACATCACTTCTAGCATTTTGTTTCTTTTCTTAAGAACCATTAGAATAATAGCGCCGTCTGTAGAGCCAACCAAAACAGAACTGAAGTGCTGAGCATGTGAAATCATGGCTGTGGGTAGTGCCGTCCTAATCATTAACGCTCAACCACAAAGAGTAAAATTTATACCTGTGTTCCTGTGCTCCAGCATGATGTCCGCCTCATTTTCACCATGGCCAGAAAGCTAGTCTAAGGAAGGAAATGGGCCATCCACTAGACTTTTCAGTAAAACAGAACAAAACCCAATACCCAATCAGAATATTTTTAGAAATAAATGTTCCTCTTTTCTCTAAAATATACATATTTCCACTGTGCTTATGAATCATGTTGCTTATCATGGAAACATGAACAAAAAGACTCTAATTCCAGAGGTTATATGTGACTCTTTGGTTGATTAAATAATGAAAGACAGACAACTGGTCTTCCCTACCTCAGGACTTCAGCATTTGCTGCTCCCCGCACCTGAAAAACTCCTTCCTGAGCTCTGTGCTGCTCTTGTTTCCCATATATAGTGATTGTGTGCTGTCTGTCTGAAAAGGCTCCCAGGACTATGATATAAATACCTTTTTCTTCCCACCTGTTTCTGCTTTCCTGCAATACTGACTTATTTTCTTCACATTGTTTCCCATTTGATATTTATGTACCTTTCTATGTATGCATCCATGTTCTATCTGTGGTAAAGTGCTACTTCCATGAAGAATGATGATCTTTTCTCCACTGTAATACCAGTGCCCAAGATACAACCTAATGTTTCTTCTTAAATGACTAACTGACTAAATGAAGATGACCAGGCCCTGAGTACACATTCATATTTCAAAGGAGCCTATGACTAGGTGTCAGTTATTCTATTCTACTTAAAAGGTGGCCTTTTTCCTCTCCAAGTCCACAAACACATAAAACCATGAATTACGTTCATTTTCCCAGCATTGAAAACATCAGTGATCTTATCAAGTTTCCAATATTCAACACTCTCTCTACTACACACCCCATTACAACTATAGATATCCCAGTCATCGTTTAACTTTCAGATTAAAAAATATTTCTTTCCTCCAAATCTCTAGTTTTCCAGGTGTAATGAGCCAGTTGTTTCCTCTCAATGGCTGTGACTGTATTCTTCTTATAATCCTTATTTACTTTACTTTTTATACCAGACTGTCCCTAACTAGAGTGGTTAAAAATAAGTTAATCTATGTTCTCTTTACTACTCCAGAGGTGGTGGGACCTGGGAGAATGGAACCAAGAAATAAGGAAAACTAATGTCTCATGCAACAGCTAACTTTATCTAAAACATCAGACAATTTATACTCTATATACTCTGGGGGTTAAGGGGAATCACATGAGTAAAGTATACAATCACAAGGGCAAGCCACATGCAGAAGAAAAAAAAAACATACTTTTACACAGAGTCATGTAAACAAATAACAATCGCCATTTATAATGGATAATCTGAAGTAAATTCACTCTCATCCACTATGTCTGGGATGGGCATGAAAACATAATCTGAGAACACTTCTGTATTTTTGAAGAAACTGAGGTCACTTTGTCTTAGTTTCTTGGAGTTTCTCAAAAGCACTCAGAAATCTCCCACACACGACTCCATTCTTAGAGCATATTCTTACAATCTCCTAACAACATGCAGCATCCCATGCTTAAGGTACAGAAATAATTTTGTCTTATGAAAAAAAGAATAAGTGAATCTACTAAATGCATTCAGTCAATTTCCACAAAAATACTAAGAGGAATTGATGATAAAAAGCATTTAAAATTATATTTAATTAATCTGATCCACCTTTTAAAAACTTAGGGTCTACTTATATTGGCCAGCTTTGCAGACTAAGAAACAAACCTACAAGATCATTTTCCCGGCAAATATTTTTACCCATGAATGAATTTCTAGAATTGAATAGTTAAGACTTTCAGCAGAAAAGGCTGTATAGTTTGCAGACATTGACTACCTGACATTTCTGTATCTGTCATGACTCAATTGTGTTAGGAGATGTTGGCTCTAATGTGTGTTGTCCATGGCTTGTCATCTCATTCTTTTACTAATGTAGGCACTCAGTATCTAGGACAGGAATCCATTTCAAACATATGTCATAAATATCTGTGTATATGGCCTAGTGATTACCAGCACACTTTAAGAAAGAAGCTGTGGTGGTGTCTTTTCATCCAGGTCTTTGTTGCTAAAGGTATTGCCTGAAGGATGCCAGTCAGTGAGTATCATTACTGCCAGCATCCTGAAAAGGAATTCAATCAGGGCTCTGTGGTCATTTCTTAACATTAGCAGGAGGCAGCACACATTGATGCAGAAATCTATTCCAAAGTGAGGCTGCTGACAGCTAAACTTCAAGAAGGCGAAGCCTTTACAAATGGCCAGAGATGTATTGTGCTGACAGCAGGCACTATTGACTTTCCCCAGAACAATCCCTTGCCAAGGACTCTGTGGAGGCTAGAGGAGCCTTGCAGGGGGGTGCAGGGAGGGGAGAGCTGGTTTGTCTCAGAAACTACCTGCTGCCAGTCAGTTTGGCATCATTTAAGGCAGCAGGTGCTCCACAGGATAAAAATGAAAGATCATGAGAGGATTTTTTTTCTTTTCCTTTCTGTTTTTGACAACTCACTGATAGTCAGACTTGGTTGAGATGAAAGTCCAGTTTATGTTGACAAGATAGTTTTTCCTCCTAGCTATTAACCCAGTCAATGGCCTGTGGTTGATTAGGGACAGGGACACGTAGAAATTTAACTTTCTCTAGCTTGACTCCCCATTTTTTATTCTGCACATGAAAGCTGTACTTGAATAGAAAAAAAAAATACATGCCAGCGTTTTAAACACAGACCCTCCCCTCAAAATTACCATGCTAGTGTGCTGTGTTTGTTTTGATTTTTACAAGCTGTCCCTTTCAATGTCTCTGATCTGCAGAAAGACAGACTCTGCATAATGTTGCCATGATATATTACCCAAGCTGAGTAACCTGAAGATGAGGTCAGATCACCAAATGCAGTTTTTGTATTTACCGTTAAGTTACCTATATGGAAAAAAAATCTGTACACAGTGCCAAAATTTCACAACTAAACTCTGTGATAATACAGCACCATGTTGTATCTAATGAAGTAGTCAAATGCCATGCCTAAGTGTGCAGAACTTACAAGAAAGTCCCTAGAAAACACTAAAGCTGATGGAATAATAAATAATAGCATTATAACCCTAGGCACATTTGATAAATATACACGAGTAATGTAAGTTAAAAAATAAAATGAGCAATGTATATATCTATATTAAGTAGTGAATTAAAGTCAAAGCTGTCCTTTTTACTACCAAAGAAGAAAAGCACTAAAATATCCCTGTTAAAAGTAGAATAATGAGTGAAAAACATAAGGAGACACATGCTGTGTAAAATCGAAAAAGATCACATTCAAATAAATCTTCTCTCTTAATTTAATTACATTCTCGTGTGCATCTATAATTACTGTGAATAAAATAAGAAACCTCACATCCTGAAACTTTAAACACTTCTAAATACCACATCATTATAAAGTGAAACACAGTACAACATCCTACATTACTAAGTTCCTAATACTTGTGTTTGGGTCACATAATCCTTGCTTACCACTTCACGTGACAGTATTTTGGTAATATGGCTATTTATATGGAGGAAAGAGATTAAAAATAGAAAAATAATATTCAGTCATTTCCTTATCAGGGTTGATGAAAATTCGGTCCTTTCATTCAAGAGTTTGAAAAAAATTGTTTTCTTTACAGGTCATTGGTAATAACATAACCAGAATTGGTCTGGCTTGGTAAGTATATAAAGCAGGGAGTTCCCACACACAACTCAGCCTTTGTTACACAGCTAAAAGATGATGTTCTAGAAAGTTCAAGATTTGCAGAATCCCCATCCTAAAAGAAAAAAAAAATGTGTGTCAGGGTTTTAGTTACCAATGATTATCACCAGAAATATTTTTAGCAAAATAATTAATAAATCAGAAATATTCTACACACACACACACACACACACACACACACACACACACACACACACTTAGCCAGATATGCATGGTACCAAATTCTTCACCCTATTGGCTATCAGGAGATTTGTGACATCACTCTGTCTGTCTGTATGCACTG